CCAAAACAAAACCAAGGTTGCAGATTTTATGCAAACTTGCAGATGTAAGCCCACACAGGTATATGTAAACACACTTGCTTAAGGACAGGCAATGGAGACCAATATACACATAATGAGTCAACACACACACACTTTTTGTTTCCTGTGTGTCTGTAACATTACTGTCTTTAATTTCTATTACAGGGACAGACTCTGAGACAGAGAAATTGTTACATATGTGGCATAAAAAGTATCAGATGATGACTGACTACACCATCTGTCTCTCTAAATCAAAGCCTTCAGTTCAGTTTCTTCCCTCATTTTTATTCCAGTATCAATCTTTTCACTCCTTCCCTTTCTTTCCACCCTTCTGACTTTTCATCCTGTCCTCCTCTTTTTTACCCTCTTTTTCCATCTCTTGTTCCTTGTGTTACCAAAGCCTTCATATCACCATGGATAAGACACTGGCCCTAAAACACCACCTGAGGAGGTCTGTCCTTCATTTAATAAATATGGCTTTTATCAGACCACACACATGCACACACAACCAGATGTGTGTGTTAATGTGTGCGTGCGCGCACACACACACACACACACACACACATTCATGGATATATTATCAGGACCACACCAGTTCTGGGAAACCAGCCCGCTTGGACTAAAACCAGAAACTCTATTATAACAACGTGTGTGTGTGTGTGTGTGTGTGTGTGTGTGTGTGTGAAAAGAGAGAGAAGCTGATAGCACCTATGTCTGTGAAATTTGCCTTGTTTGTCTAAAGTCTTTGTAAACAAACAGTAATTCAGGTACATGAAATAGCATGACTTTGTGTATACAAAAAGCAATAACAGTATCTACATGCATTCCTTAATGCAAGAACAATACATAAAAGGGACAATACACCAAAACATTTTATTGTTCCAGATTTTAAAGAGGTGGTATTATGCTCATTTTCAGGTTCAAAATCCTATTTAGTGGTTGTACCAGAACAGGTTTACATGGTTTAATTTTCAAAAAACACCATAATTTTTGTCATACTGCACATTGCTGCAGCTCCTCTTTTCACCCTGTGTTGAAGGCTTCGTTTTAGCTATGGAGTGATACATCTTGTCTCTAAATGATCTTTGTTGGGAGCTGCACATGCGCAGTTCTTAGTTAAGGACTACTAGCCAATCAGAAGCAGAGAAGGGCAGGTCAGCAAAGGCCGGTAATAGCCAATCAGAAGCAGAGAAAGGCAGGTCAGCGAAAAGACTGTAAACAGCTTTGATTCATCTGTAGGCTACATGTTGCTGACCAGCTTGGAAACATGGACTGGAGCAAGAGTTTCAGAGTGGTGAGTTATTAATCTGTAACAAAAATGTCTTTCATCCATAAAGTTTTAACTGAGCTCTGTCTCTACATCACAGTAACAACTTCTTGTCCATTGACTGCTTGGAGGGTAGCTAGTGTTTGGAAGGGAGAGGAGAGGTGTGCTGCAGCTCACTGTTTTTCCACCGGTGTTTTTGAGGGCGTGTCGGAGTAGTCGCTCAGCGAGCATTATTACGTATTTTCATTGTGATGTCACAAGAAAGGGAAGTAAGTTCATTTGAATCACAAACAAATTGGCACCTAATTTTTCTATTAAAATATTTATTTTGTTGAAAAAAGAGGCCTGAAGATTAACTAATCATATTTGTTGAAAAAGATAATAGCTTTGAATGTTCTAACTCAGATTTGTGAAGTGATCCACTGTTTGGCCTCAAGTGTTTGTCACATTCTGACCATAAAGGAAAGTTTAAAGGCAGATTTTTGCCTTTAAACTTGAAAGAAATAATGATTTGACATTTATTGTGATAATTATTGATATCGAATGATATGAAATGTTTCCATCGTGATAACATTTTTGGCCACATCGCCCAGCCCTAGGCTGGACTACAAACGAGCTGTTTTCAGGCAGTTCAGAGCAGTGTTTTCTGTGGGAGATGGGAACTCCCTTTGGGGTGGACTTTGGGCTTTTTCACTTTGAAAACCTAGTACATGCACGAAAAAGATATATAACTCAATAAAGGAGAGGGAAAAAGCCAAAAAGCATAATACCACCTCTGTAAGATATCTGTCTCTGAGAATAGAATAAATAGAAAATAAATAAATTTCAAGAAGTCAACAGGAATGTACCTTTCCAGGGTTAATGTCATTAATAATAGATGTTACTTTGAGTGTTTTAAATGTAACTCTTCTAATGCGATGAGCAAAACAAATGAAATTCCTTTTGCCTCCATTGTCATTGTGTCATCTCTGTTGTATTAATGTGGTGTGAGAAATGTCGATTCTGGTCATTTAACCAAAACTATCTGCTAAACACCACCAGGGCTAAGTGAAAAAATATGTGTTTAATCATAGCAAAAATGGAGGCATTTATGTCATGATTATTGAGTAATTACGTCTCGTCCACAGCAAACTGCACTTAAATTGAAAAAGGTCAATTGGACAGTTATCAATAGGACAAAGATAGGGGTATAGGGAGTTCTACGTAGGAGGCACTGTTACTTTCCTTGAAATCCCAGTAGTCTCACTGCCGTTTGAGGTCTTCCCTTATTTGATAAGGAAATCCTTCTTTGACTCCAGTCTATGCTGATGGGCTCTAGAATTAGAGCACATAGATTAAACACACAATAATAAGAAGACTGATGATAGGCCAAGCTACCTATAGTGATTAGAACTGGTTTGCACACCGTCTGCACTTTTTGTTATTCTATCATTTGGTTCTACAACGGAAAGATTTTTTCACACAGTCAATGTGGTCTGAACTGTGGGTCACTTTTCACTGCTTTGACACAAATTACATTCAAAGACTACATCTTTCAAATTTCATGAACTTTCAAACCCAAAGGCCACCAAACCACACTTCACTTTTCACATGTTTACATTCTATTGTCATATCTGTTAAATTTACACCCAAAACTTAACATGACACAAAACGGCTGTATTTAAGATTGCCATTTGCTACATTCTGTCTCATCTACAGCTAAAAAGAAAAATCTGAAATTGCATAAACTCCAAATTGGGACATACAGCATCAAGCTTTCATTCCTTGATGACCTCTATGAAAGACTTGTGCCAGGTGAGGAAAGGGGGCAGGTGAGGCAGAATCCAGAATGTTTTATAATTCGATGGGACAATGAGCCATTTCACCATCTCTTCCAGTCAGAGTGGTTTACAGCCCATCGTAGAAGGGCGTCGCTTTTCCTTTCGCTTACTCTGCATTCCTCAACCCTACAGAGGAAATCTTTTCCTCATGGAGGTGGAAAGTTTATGACCACCAGCCACATGGTCAGATTCTGGACGTATCTGCAGAAGATATCAGATCAGATGTGCAAAAAAAATCTTTCTCAGTATGTACTAACATGTTATTTATTAAGCGATATTGATCATATTTCAAATTTCAAAGCTTAATAGACACACATTAGACGTTAAGGTTACTCTACAGTACGTCTGTGCACTGTGAAGTGGCTTCAGGCAAGACAAGGCTAATGCCAGATCATTCAAGCAGACACATGCTGCGGACACACACACACATACAAAAAGAATAGTAATATTGCTTCAACGTCATGTTCAAGGAGGATGTCTGAATATCATACTGTTAAAAGAAGGGTATTTTCTAATTTTTGGACTCTGCTCTGTGTTTACCACTAATGTGACTTATTTACTTCATGTGTGAAAATATTGTCTATGTAGATGCACAGATAATGTTATGTTCAGCTACTATTACAGCCTTAGCTGGTTACAGTTTCAACAGGGTAGAGGAAGATTCAAATGTAGCTGTGTGCACGTGTGGGCATCATGAGCATGCATGGTGTATGATGCATTTGTGCCTGCCAGTGATCTTTATGTGTACTTACAAATTCACTCCCCGGGTGCATTACGCCTTTGAAGCTCAGCAGGGTGGTCTAATAGCTTTAATTTTAATTAATTTCCTTTCTCTATTAATAACCTCTATCATTCCCTAAGTGGTTCTAAGTTTTAAAGGTGCTACATTTCTCATTAGCCAATTGCTGGGGTGATGGGAAGGCTTTGTGCTGAGTCAGCAGAAACCTCAAGTTTGGCAAGTTCATCCCATAAACTCTTAAAATGAGATGCATGGACATGGCGGGTGACGAGAAGTGAGAGTGAAGGGGGGATACTGACAGTAAGTGTGTGAGAAAGTGACAAAAACAGAAAGTGAATACTGTACATGAGTGTGCCTTAAGGGGAATTGGTCTGGTCAGAAGCACATTTATAAACTCAGCAGAAGTGTTGAAGGCACTGCTTTGTTTTGCTGCTAATTTCAGCACGTAACACCTTGACATTTTACAATTGTGGATAAATCACTCTAAAATGCACTTACTAAAATTACTTCAAACTTAATGCCTGTCTGAAATGGGCTGCCTTTGGCTTGCACAAAGCTGCCCATTGAATGATTCCTGGCAAATCCAATTCCAGGATTTACTTATTAGAATCTTCAACAATAAGAACAAGTGCAATCATGTCATCTGTGTTGTGTTAGAGGAGTTGTGAGAGCTTATTTTAAACAGTGAGTGAACTGAAGCAGATAACGAGGGAACAGACCGAGGGATGGTGTCCTTTACAGTTATTCCTTTGCAATATACAGTGTATTTTAATTATTAAAGCATGATATACTTGCTCCAGTTACATATAGCCTATGCCAACTTTATGTTTTCCAACTAACATTTTATTTTACACATGCAATAAATGCTATGTAATGGCCTGAATCAAAATCCAAGTGAGCTCATGTCAGCTGTTTCCTTTACCCTGTGTAGCTGAATGCCTAACACTTAAGCGTTAACTCAAGACACTTCCCCTCTCTTGAGTGAGCTCATGGTACGTTTCCTCTCCTGTGCCTGGCTGTGGTGACCCTCCCTGCGCACTCATCTGAGGGTTTCCTACAAATACGTCCCCTCTTTGGCGCATTTCCTTGGTCAACTTTGAAGAAGAAAATGGTGCCAACACTTACATAAAGTAGTAATAACATACACCAGATGGATAGATAGCTAGAAATACAGATAGTCTCTAGGATATAATGATTTAAATGTTTTCCCTCTTTATTTTAAAGCATCTCGCTCAGTTACACACCCACATTACACACACTCGTCGTGAGCGCGCACCACTCAGTCTGCAAACTTTGGCTCGCTGACTTTTACAGCGCGGCAGAGGCGTCAGATAGGAACTAGTAAACTATGCGGGATATTTCTCTGTGACTGAATAGAATTTATTTACTCCACGGCGAGACGTCTTGGCGACAAGTTCGGCGCCTGCGATCTGAGGTTTGACCGTGAACGGAGCTATATTACCCTCCACCTGCGCTCCATTGTTTGGAGTTTTGCTGTCGGTATCTGCGGGCGCGTAACTTTCAGAAGAACACAAACACTTTTGGATTTTGGGCCACTTTGGCACAAGACGGGATATCGTGTGCATAGCAGTCGACAAGTGGCTCTTGGAGGAGGGAGATTATAAAAGCCTGAAGTTGGAAAGTTAGTTTTGACTAAAGCAAATTCTGGCGACATATTTTAAGTAGCTTAATCTTCGTTAACTTGAGCCACTGGCAGGTGAAGAGGGCATTTAGCCTACTGAGTTGTTTAAAGGGTCTATGAGTTTGCTATCACCATGAGAGGACCAGTGGTTTTCCAGATGTGGATGATTTTATTGTTGGGGACCATAGCCGGAGTCGGGAGGGCTCAGGTCTCCACCGTCAAAGTGATAAGGGGCAACTCCAGGAGAGACGGTGAGATGTCTTTATTATGTCATTCTTTTGTTGTTGTGAGTGTTGCTTGTGTGTCTATTTACTGCTGAATCTACATCTCTGTAACACTCAGTAGGGACATAGTGACCCTCTTGTGGAAAAGTCTACTTAGTTATAGTGCTTTTTTATTTTTTTAATATTGAGTGCTGTTATTAGTGTAGCTTTTGGAGCTGAAAGTTCTGGATTATATTATGAAAGCATCTATTAAGTCCTTTTTATGTTTTTTACTCAGCTCTAATACTGATTTGAGAGGATCAAGTATATACACACTGCCACATTTAAATGACAAATAGAAATACTTTTTTTGCAATGGACACACTGATTGTTTTAGATGTCCCTACAGTGTTACTTAAAATAGACATCAATTGTAGTAAGTGTGACACAACAGAAATGGCTTGTTGTGAATGACCTGTTGATACACCTGGGAGAGAGAGAGAGGGAAGCAACAGAGTGGAGACAGAAAAGTTAAATGACATAGAGTGGGTAAAATAAGCTGTGGAGAAAGAGGAAGAGCAATGTCTGTTGGATGACAAGCTGCTACACTTTTGTCAGATTTTGAAAATTGAATAAGGAGCATGCACATCTCAGAAAACTGTGTACTGGCAGCCAGTTAAGAGCGGGACTTCTATCATTGCCACAGTGCATCTCTTCTTCATTGAAGCGAAGTCTTCAGATTCCCTGAGCCTCTTGCCTATCTAACTTCCAGTAGGTGCGCCATGCTTACTTTTCACTAGGCCCTGAAGCTAAAGTCACTGTGCAACAGTTGATTTGATTCTACACACGCACACCCACACACACGCATGCACACAGCTGCAGGGTTGCTTTTGGCAGGGAAACATGAAAATACCACTGTATTAGGTTCTAACCTGGACGGCAGCCCCTGAGACCTGTTTCACCTCTCATTCCCTTTGTGTTTATAACAAAAGAATAACATGGAGGGGTAAGAAATGACTTAGAGTCTGCCTGTGCACACATTAAGTAGCCTACATTTGAGTGAACTATGCTCCCCGCTGAAAGTTTTTGAAGTTCAGATTATTTTTTGTTAGTGCATACAACTGTTTATGATGATGGTTCAGTTTGCAAAACACACTTTGATAATTCAACATCAGAGTTTCAATATCCACAGATGTTTGACGGATTGATTGCAACCTGCCAGAAGCAAAACAATTATTGGGTCTAGTCCACTCAGTGTGTATATAAGTGAAGTATCATAGAAGCCACCACACAGTGACAGCTGTGCTGCAGCAGTACCGTGAGACCATACAGACAGACACATAGTTGAGAAAAGCAATGCCTGATGACAAAGAAACGGCTTGTTGCAAAATAAAAGTTGATACTGTAAGAAGACGACAGCTGCACTAAGTCTATTTGGTCAAGTTTCAAAATACTCGCAACATAAAAAGTCTGTTCTCTCAATGGAAGGGAGATGGAAAAGTATTAAGCAGGAAAGATCAGAAGAAGGCAGTGTCAAAGCTGCTTTTACAATTCATGGAAGTTTTTATTACTTGCTCCAAAAGTTTTTGTCAGATGTGCATCCCAGTTCTATCTTCTCTGTAGTTGTTACTATTTTATGTTACTAAAAAAGGATCAGTCTAAGACTACTGTAAATTGTGCGCTTAATTATTATTTATTTTCATCATTTTCAAAAAGTTTTTTGTAATTTTTTAGGGTTAATGACTATATATACCATGCAACGGTAGAAATGTGTCCACCAGTAGAGAGCAGCAGCTATCGCTTAGTGTTTGTGCTGTTTGTGCTATATACAGTATTTGGTGCAGGCTATGTAGCAAATCAGGGCTGGATTCTCACGTGATGTCACAGTTCTCGTGTGATCTTCTGAATTTAGCTGCCTCGCAAGGTAACCGGACAGCCAGACTGCTTACCACAGGAGACTGACAGTTGGTGGCGGTAATGAAACACAGAGGAGGAGAGCTTTATTGTAAATACAGAGCAGGAGGAGAAATTTTTGTTTGAATGGAAGCAATGAAGTACAGTACAGAGTGGTTATTCTAAACCTTTTTCTTAGGGGGCTTTCACACCTGAAAGGCCGCACCAAGGTCAAAACCAAAGTTCATGTTTTGATACATTTGGTTACTGTTGGTTTGGTTTCATACTGCAATTCTGCGACTGCACTAAAGCACTTTTCATGACACACTTGCGTCCTGTCGTCATCATCTATGTGGGCTGCGTCCCCCTATACTTGACATTGATTGGTTTATTGAACAGTTCAGCTGGTATCTTTGACAAGAATGAATGAATAAAAAATGAACATATGCATATTTGCCACTATATTGTTATTATTACATTTACATTTATTCATTTAGCTGACTAAATATTATGGCATTACTACCTGCAGCACCAGCTGTACTGAAGGCTAGTTCAAATTCGCAATTAAACGTCCCCGTTGTGCGAACATTATAACATAGCTGACAGGAAAGGGGGAGAAGACAGCAAGCAATCCTTCTGCACCTCCGTTTCAGGACAAACCAAAGATGTATGTGCAGTGTGCTTCTATAGTGGCCGTCTGTTTGAAAAGATGATATGTCACAGGAGATTTATAATCTTGTCCTTATTTCAATGCATTTCTCCATGCATTTGCTTGTTTCCGGTTTACACGTCAACCGCCAAACTTCCTGTAAATAGTCTGAAAGTCCAAACCATCCAAAAAATGCTTTCACACCAGAAACAAACCGAACCATGGTTCAGTTTCATCCGGACCGAGACTACCTCTTTTCGTCGGACCAAATGTCGTCTGTTGAAAAGTCAGACAAAAAAAGTCCAAAAGTCCGGACCAAACGAGGTAGGTGTGAAAGCCCCCTTAATTGAATTTACAGAACAATTACTGTATCATAATAGAAGACTTTGGCCATATTGCCCACCCCTACATCCTACAGTTAGCTTACTTTAGCAACATTTACCACTTAGGAACATTTACAATCCCACAATTTAACTTGTTTTTCTTAATTCTTAACTCATATTCTACATATTAGCAGATCCTGATTAAAGTTAAACACATGGCCTCATCCTCTCCTTTAAAAAGAAAGAGTTCACCACTTCACTCATTATGTGTTTCAAACCCACACTAGGCCTTGAATACATTTGTGTTATTATAAACATGTTTTTAATTTTAATGGAAAGAAAAATCTGTCTCACTGTTGCACATATCCCTGAATAAAAAATTTGGGAACTCCCTTTGATAATGTTGTCAGGAAATGATTGGTTTAGTGCTCCCAGTGAAGGAAAAAAGATGGCAGGTACTCTCCAAGTCTCTGCCCTCAGACACTAGCTGGTAAACATGCTTCAGTAATTTCATAGTGTTGCACGATTTCAGTGGGTCAGAATTTCAATCCCAACTCTACCAGCAGTCATTGAAACAATAGAGTGGCACTCACTGCAGCTTCACTAAAGATCGTCCTTGCTGAGTTTCAAGCCATCTTTATGTTCTGTTATTATCAAATCACATTGATTTTATCAAAGTGCATTCTTTGATGTCTTGATGACCGTTTGTTGAACAAAGACTGAGAGTCGCTGTGATGGCTGCTATTGAGACAGGCTGGTTCTTAAATGCTGCCCAGGCTTTTAACAGCTCTTTAATCCGCTGCATGCAGTCTTACAAAAATACACTGCACCCACAAGTTATCTTTATGTGTGTGTGTCTGTGTGTGTGTGTGTGTGTGTGTGTGTGTGTTCCTGTGTTTATGCATTTACAGATGGCTTATGTGGAATATGAGAGCTTAGTTCCGTTATTTGATTGACTGGTGCTGATTAGCTGTGTTTCCATGTGCAAGAGTGAACGTCAGGCTGATATGGGCTCTGCAGCTTTCACTCCATCCATTTACCATTGTGAAAGTGCCTGTGTGTGTACCTTTTGTGTATTTGAATGTGTGTGTGTGTGTGTGTGTGTGTATTTGTGTGTGTGACAGAATGTCTTAGCTCACTTCAAGGAATTCCCCCCAAGGTTTTTTTCTCCTGTGTTTGTTCAGCATTTTGCTTGTTCATTTCGCCTGCCATTGAAGTGTGTCTGTATGTGCATTAAAGAGGCTGGGGGGTGAGGCAGGGGGACTGAGTGTATTTGTAGAAAAGAAGCACACAAATACACATGTAAACAAACACAACAAAGTAAACACAATGTGGCCTTTCTGCCCTGAACAACTTATCTTCTCTGTTGAAGAGACCAGATGACCCAGATAGGACAAAACCTATTACACACGTTGTATGCGTGTGTGTGTGTGTGTGTGTGTGTGTGTGTGTGTGTGTGTGTGTGTGTGTGTGTGTACAAGCAGGACTTGTGGGCAGGGAAATATGTACATATATATACTGAAACAGACAGAAGCAAGCACACAGTAGTCAGACACTGACACTGTCACCCAGCCACAAGCACAGTCGAAGGGTAAATCATCCATTCACTACTTACACATTATCACACATATTTAGCTGTGTTCATGTGGGTCGCAAATAAGGTTGGCCGCCGATAGATAATCGTCCATTGGCAAGTGCTGACAGATGGTCGATGGTTGAGCAGGCATCGTGATTGTAAAACCCCGCCCCCTGGCAAAAAAAATCTAAATTTTTCACATAATACCTCAGTGAAACACACCGGCTTGCCCCGCTTCTCTCTATCTCGCCCGTCTACTCCACTTTCTCCATCAGCAGTACGTTTTATAAAGTTGCCTAAAAGACACAGAACTGCAGCAGGTGAACCGCTTGTGGGCTTGTTAATGACGCAGCCTATCAAACAACCAAAACCAATATCTGCACCCTGTGTTCAATGCTGTGTTCCATGTGGCTTGTAACGTCACAGGCTACCAAGTTTTTAACCGAGTGAAGTCTGTGCGGGTGAACATATGCACATAAGACGACCGCTAACCTGGTATCAGGCATGGCATCTATCTGCTAGGCGAGCGTTATGACGCAGATAGTTTACAGGAGTAAAGGCTGGACTACGATCGAGCTGTTTTCAGGCAATACAGGAGCAGTGTTTT